TCTTAATATAAAAAGATAAAGATAACATTCTTACTAGACTTTTAGGTTAGATTTGTGTTAGGAAAGGGTGGGTTCGAATTCCTAAAGAAGGGCAAAGATGTATGTACAGGGATGTTTATTACAGTAGAAAATAAGTGATAAGTGCCTATCAATATGGAATTGTAAAATAATGCATCCTCTAAAAAGAATACAGTACATTTTTTTTAAGGATTTTATTTATTTATTTGACAGACAGAGATCACAAGTAGGTAGAGAGGCAGGCAGAGAGAGAGAGGGGGAAGCAGTCTCCCTGCTGAGCAAAGAGCCCAATGTGGGGCTCGATTCCAGGACCCTGGGATCATGACCCGAGCTGAAGGCAGAGGCTTTAACCCACTGAGCTACCCAGGCGCCCCAAGAATACAGTACATTTTTGTACATGGAAAATAAATGTTCAAGAGATACTAATTGAAAAAACATAGTGCAGAAAGTCTGTATGGTATGAGCCCACTCATCTAAATTAGAAATGATTATCACTATGTCTACCTTATACTAAGCATTATAAGAAAAGGTCTGATGTAGTATATCTATATATTATTAATAGTGGTTAACTCTGTTAACAGTGGTTGTATCAAAGTGCAGCGTGGTTATAGAAGATTTTCACATTATAGTCTTTATTTTTTGTCTTCTAGAAAATCTTAAACAATGGATAAGAAGAAAAATAATTTTTAAAAATATCAGGGACACAAGCAGTACTTCTAGGATTAACAGGAACTTTAATGAATTCTTTGAACCAGCTTTAAAAACTAAGTCCTATACATATAAATATTACTTCCTTTTTGAGTTTATAGTAAACTCAAATCAGGGACATGGAGATTATTGATTAAACTGAAATTATTAACATCTCCAAAATGATGCTGAAACCATATTTATTCATTTCCTCTGTATTAACATCAAAAGCAAGTAAATGTATAAAGGTTTTTCGATGTCATTTGTTCTGACAATGATCTCACAATGGTTTTTGCAGTTTGGTAAAGAAATAGATGTGGAAATATATTTGTGAAATAAAAAAAACCCTAAGTTGTGTTTTATGAAAAGACTATTAAAGTATGGTTATCTCTGAGCACCTGAATTATGGATTATTATGGATTATTTCCATTTTCTTCTTCCTTCCTTCCTATATTTTTCCAATTCTCCACAATAATCACGAAATTGCCTTTGCAATCAGAAAAAGAGTTCCCTTTTTTTTTTTTTTAAAGATTTATTTATTTATTTATTTGACAGACAGAGATCACAAGGAGGCAGAAAGGCAGGCAGAGAGAGAGAGGGAAGCAGGCTCCCTGCTGAGCAGAGAGCCCCAAGGAGTTCCCTTTTTTAAAAATTGTTACGTTAAAGTTAGGTACCTATAAATGTAACAAAATAAACCTGATCTATTTCAGTTTGCTTGCACTTTCTATATGACATCCAGTAGTTCTCTTTCCCTCAGTGGCTGAAGTTTGCAGACTGTATTTACAAGCTGGGACCTAATGACTTGTATTGTGACCACATTGGTCCCCATTTCTCCAAAATGACAAAGAAAGGCTCATTGAGCACAACCTGATGAGCCATGTTTTAAATGTCATTACTAAAACAACTATGCAGGCTTTTCATCAGACTTCTACAGAACCACAAAGAAAGGTCAGAGCAAACAGAAGCTTACACCTTCTCATAGCCGCAGTCACATGGTATGAAGCAAATATTTTTAGGTAACACGGAGAAAAGTTGAAACTGCAACTTTGGTGTGCATTGGGATGTGCAATGAGAGACAGAGAGGGAAGAGGTTTTCTTCATGATGATTAAAGTTTTTGCACAAAGGGTTTGAGATCCTTGGATGAAAGCTGTTAAGTAAATACTGCATGATATGCATATTGCGTGACAGTGTGTCATAATTATAGTTTGCTTTCAACCATCTGAAGCCTTTCTGTGTTTTCTGATTTCCACTTCTAAACCTTATAAATTATTTCTGAGTCATCAGCCTTTCACCCTAGGGGCAACTCACAAAATCCATAAAAATGTGGCTATTTTCTTAAATCTCTTTTCTAGCAAATGCGTTCCTCTTTAGCCTCAGAATGTAAATTCCCACAAAGAAAAGCAACTAAATAATATTTCTCTCCCTCTCTTATATCCTCCCTTCTCTAAAAATGTCCATTTATAATTAAAAGCCCACATGCGAAGATCAGTTCTTCATTCCAATTGGGGACCTGAATCTAATGAGAAGAGAGAAAGATGGTAAAATGGAGGAAAGGATGGTAAAAATGCTACTACAAGGTCGAAGTGCCCAACCCCTGGTCAGCCCACCTGACACTTTGGGCTAGATAATTCTTTATTGTGAAAGGCTGTCCTGTGCATTATAAGATGTTCAGCAATATCCCTGGCCTCTACACACAAGACTACTAATTGGCTTTTGCCAATTCAGATTTTTCCTTTGACCTCAGAGTCAACCTCTACCTACCTAGCTACCTACCAACATAAAATACAGACACTCACAAACACCTTCACACTTTTCATGTTAAAGCCCTTGAACACTGTCTAGAGTTTCTCCTCTGAGCCATATGTGGCCAATTTGACTAGGAGGAGAGAAGCACTGGTAACTTTCCCACACTTCACTGATGTGGGTGTTCATACTTTTAATGTTCATGGTGTTTTTAAGTGACATGGTTGTTTGTGTCTTTTAATATTCATGGTGTCTTGACAACTGAAGCTTGTAAATGTCTGCATTTTTTTAAATATGCTGGTCACACTGCAACCCCATGCTCTCCCATGAATATTGGTTCAACCATAATTTTATTTAATTAAATATGTTTACCATCTAATTAAAACCAAGAAAGGGATGTATAGAATTAAAAAAGCACTTCCTAATTCATTCCACAACAAAGCAACACATGTTACTCATATAAACTGTATTTTTATGCCTCTTATTATATTCAAATAGTGTTTATTCTCCCTACTTCAAGTTGTCTGATGTTTGAAGCACGAAGGAAAATGGGCAGATGGAGTGATTTCCTCTATGGAAGAAACATTATTAATAAATTCTTCTCTATGAAAAACCCTGACAAGTGGATTTACCATTACTAGATTCATAATCATGAATAAGCACCTTAGTCTCTGCTGGCCAGTTTCATTTTGGGTAAAATGAAAATGATAATCCCTACCTTCTAGGGCATGTTGAATGAGATAATCTGTTTTAAGCTTTTAGCCCTGTGCCTGACATATAGGTGTTTTATTAATATCATTTCTGTGGTACTTCCCTCCTTTGTTCCTAGCACCAGCTAAATAATTTGTGAGATTCAGTGCAAAATAAAAATGAGTGCTCCCCTTGCTCAAAATTAAGAATATCAAGATGACAACAGCAAAACATTAACCCAATGAGGGGCCCTTCCAAGCATGGGGCTCTCTCGGTGTTACTGCATCAGCTACATGCTCATAAACCCAGCACTGCTTGCTCCCCTAGTGTTTTCAAGGTTCCATTTGTCTATTCTACTACATTAAAAGTCCCTCTTCAATTTGACAATTCACAGGTAAGTAAATGTAACTAACCACGGAGGGCTCGACTGCGTGGCTTGGTTTTCAATGCTGGCTCACTTTTACTCAAGTTGTTGAGTGTTAGTGGGCCTAGAGCTATTATAAAGGAGCTATTTTACTCTGCCATGGCATTTCAGGGGTTTGTATCATTCTCAGCATGGAGGAATTTAAAAAAAATACCTTAGTTTTCTATAAGAAATTGAACACTTGGTGATAGCTCAAGAGGCACTTAGTGGCCAAAAAGGCACTTAATTGAAAAGTTCTTTATCCAGAGTAATCAAACAACATTCACAAAGAAACAGCATAGCTTTAATTATTTTAGATCCTAGATGGGAGACCTGGTCCAGAAGTCTAGAGCAAAATACCCAAAGAGGAAGACTTGGTCTCCAAACTGAGCCCCAGTATTACAGGTTACTCCTTCTTAAGGATGCATCAGCAGGTCCTTTAAAGGGCTTGTCAAGGTTCTCAGATCCTACTTGTAAGAACAGAATCCTGTAAAAAAGCAAAATATGTGTGTGAATGTGTACAAATACAAAGATACACAGAGAAATGTCCAAATTTCCTCTACTGGAACACAGACACACACACACACACACACACACACACACACACACACACACACACACA